GCAGCCGCTCCGCGCGGTGGGGCCCGGCCCGGCTCTCCCCTCTGACCCAGGACCTCTCGGGGCTTTTTGTTCCGCGGCCGCTCGGGAGGGGTGGGCAGAACCTCGCAGAGAGGCCCGGCGCCGGGCGGGCAGTGGGCTTCGGGGGCTGCCGGGGGCGGCCCGGGCCCTCCCGGTTCCGCAGCCCTCCTCCTCCTCCTCCTTTTGCTCGCCGAGTCTCCCTTTTGTGTGAATTTACGGGGTGAGGCTTCAGTGATCCCCCCCCGCAAATTTGCATTTAAATAGCGACATCAAGCGATTCGCGTGCCACACACCAGTGGGCTCCCAGATGTCGCTCAGATGGCCGCAGCCCAGCTGTCCCCCGAGCCGGGCCGAGCGCTCCCGACCCCCGCGGCCCCCGCGCCCCGGGTACCGCCCGCCGCGCCCGGCCCGGGGCCACCTCCCCCCCCCCCCCACTCCCCCCCGGCCGCAATAAATCACCTCCGCGGATCCCTTCCTCCTCTCGCATATAATAACACATAATCACGTACTGTACATGGATCGCGCAGATTAAAATTGATAGCCTCATTTCCACAGCTGTTATAGGATTCTCCTAAACTTTATTATTATTATTATTTTTTGGTGGTGGTGTTCCTCGGGACAATCCTCTCGGGACTATTATCGTAATTATTGCACTTTTTTTTTTTTTTTTTTTTAAACTTCATTTCCACACTTCCCCCCCCAGCTCCCCCCTTTCCTTCTCCCCCCCCTCCACCCCCCTCCCCCGCCGCTTTTCGAGGGTTTCCATCACACAGCAAGGAGCCCCGCGTGGATTTGCCCACGCGGACCCTCGGGGGCTCTCCCCGCTCCTCTCCCTCCGACCCGGCCCGGCTCCGCACCCCCGGTCCCGCTGGGGGGGGGCACCGACCCGCACTGCGCTGCGCGGCGCTCCTGTGGGGGTACGGCGGGGCCCGCGCAGCGCCCGCGCAACTCTCAGACTTTTACTGTTCGAAGGCGCCGCTGTTATTAACGCGCTGGGTTACATAGGTGTAACTGACGCCCGCTTGAACCGAAACAAATCTCAGCTAACTCTCGTTTCCTGTGTCCCGGAGCAGTGATAAATGGGTATTTTCGGGTATTTTCAGTAACAGCGGAGGATGCCCAGGTACGGCCGCTCCGCTTTCGGGGGGCGGGGGCTGGCCGCTGACAGGCACCTCCAGATATACATGCGAAGGGGAACGCGTTGCGGACGAGGCAACGACGGCGGGGTCCCCGGCGGCCGCTCCGCCCGGCCCCGCGCAACCTGCTCCCGGCGCCTGGAGGCGCGCAGCGGGCGCGCAGGGCTGGGATCGCACCTCCGTTTGGCCTCCTGTCAGTCCGCTTCTCGTCTCCGTCTCCCGGCTCGGGCCAACTTCGGAACTTGGCTGAAATTTCAATTCTCGATCACCCCGCGCCCTGAGAAAGGCCGAGGGGGAGCCGAGCTCCCTGCGTAGGCGCACACATCCGCGCCCCGAGCGGGGCCATCCGACGGGTGCGGGCAGCCCGCCGTCCCGCTGCGCGCCCCGCGAGGCAGAAGCCGGGCACTGCGGAGCCCCTGGGCTCGGCCCAGGCCTCGAGCTGCGCGGGCGCGGCGCAGGACTCGCGGGGGACGCTACCTCTGTCCCTCCCCGGTCCTTTCGGGCAGCTCTGCCCGAGTCACTCTACCCCTACCCCGCTCCCTTCCAGCGGCCTTGCGCTGTCTTTGCGCGACCCTTGGCCGGGCTGCGCGGCGGGGGGAGCGGCACAGAGCCCGCTCGGCGGTGCGGAGCCGTTCTGCTGAAGGTACCGCTCGGCACTGCGCTGTTCCAGGAGCGCTTTCACCCCCCGCGCCCCCGATATTGTTAAAGGAAGAATTAGTTCCCGACAGAACAAGGCTGAAAGTTGCCCCGTATCCGCACGGCGGGCGCCTCACGGAGATGCTCCTCTGCGGGCACCGCCCGGCTGCGGCCCGCTCCCAACGCTGCTCCGCCGGGGCCGCCCCCGCGGTGCGGTGCGGTGCGGTGCGGAGCGTGGGGGGCTGCAGCCGGACGGCTCCTCCCGCGCCGCGAGAACAATACGAAGGGAGTGCGACTGAACAAACAAGGATCGATCAGATAATTTCAGATATTATAATTGGCTTTAATTAAACACACTTCGTTCTAATTAACTCTGAAATTTTAGCATGCTTTGGGACGTTGGTGTCTGATTTGATATTGTCAGTCCAGATGTCCTAATAAAATTCAATCCTCCACTCAAGACTTCAATATTCACTAAGAACAAAATGCAAATTAAATGTAAAACCTAAAGTATCGCCAAAGGTATAATCAAGAAAGGTGTCTCAAAACTTCTCACTTTTTATTACGCAGTAGTTAGAAAATGCAGATTACATCCTAACAAGACCTCAGCTGAATAATATAAAGCTTAACTCTTTCCTGGTCAAGGCTCGCTCTCCCCGGCGCTCTGCCCTGAAGGGATTCGGAGCGGCAGATGCCAACGCGCAGCGGGA